CCCCAAAACCCCAAAACCCCGGAATTCTACATCAATGTACATCTATAATATTTGAGAAATTAAAATCAATTAATTTATTAATTATATAGAATGGAGTTATCAAAGAAAAGTACCAGCAAAACTCGGTAAAATAATAATTTGCTATTCACTGCATCAAACAACAAAAAGAAATAACTTTCTCAATCCAATGCTGGGGTATTTAACAACAATTTAGATGATTTTGTCCTATTAGATAGAGTAATTCCAGAAGTATGATAATAGAACTCTAAAAAAGAGAAGAAATTTGATGAACTTTAATCTTTAGATAAAAACACTAAACCAAAAAAGATTGGGTTTTTTGACAAATTATTGAACCGAAAAAAAAATCCAAAGAAGTTCATGTAAGTAGACCCAGAACATAATTTAAACTTTGTGAATAATGAAGAGGTCAAAACTTTGGACTTAAAAAGAGGCCTAAATAAACATGGAAATGAGAGTAAAAAAAATCAGCAAGAATTATAAGTCAGTGAAGAATTTTAGATAATTGATTAAGGAGATAATTTGCTTTAGCCTTAAGGAGTTACTCAATGATAATCGATGGCTTCATAAATGCAGAGTGATTTCATCATGATTGATAACTATTAGAACTAGATAGATGCTGCTTAATGGAAGGATTGGCTAGAATAAAATAAAATGAACTTTAGATAGGATAAAGAGTTGTTTCGAAATATTCAACAGAAAGTATTCGCAGGTCTGCATCTTATGACCTAAAACGGTCGAAGAGATGCTTGGCTTGTAATTCTTAATATAGATCCAAATTCATCTTAGATCCAAGAAATGATTAAAGATTATCACCGATATATTGAAGTCTAGCCATAAGGCGAGGACGAACTCTTTCAAAATGAGAGAGATATTAGAAAAGATATTTGTCGTACATTCACAGACTTAGAGATGCTTGCGCAAACATAATTGCAATATCAAGAGAAGCTCTTTAATATTTTAAAGGCTTACTCCTTGTATAATTAGCAAGTTGGATACATGCAAGGACTAAATTTTGTAGCAGGAATGATTTTGATTATCATGCAAGATGAACCCATTTCCTATGTAGTCTTAATTAAGCTTTTGGAAAAGAATCAATGGGATAGATTATACATTGATTAAACTCCAAAATTGTTTGAACTAGTCTATAAAATACGGCTGTATATTCATCAAGACCTTCCCAAGCTTTATAAATACTTTGAGAGTGTGGGACTAGCTCTAGATCCATTACTTGCTTCTCCATTTTTCACATTATTCTCTAACTTGCTAGATATTTCAAGTTCCTTACTACTGCTTGAACGCTATATGCTTCTTGATGAGGATTATCTGGTAGATATATTGAAGAATCTCTTCAAGTAGTTCAAAAATGAGATGATGAAGATGGACTGCTGGGATCTTCAGGTTTTCATCGGTAAGCAAATGTACCAAAGAGCTGTTGACCAAAATACCTTTTTCTTGAATTATCATGATCGATATTACAAGCAATAATGATAATGATTTGTTTGAATGAGTCAATCTCTAATACAGACAATAAATATATATACTAATTGATAAATATGAATGAATGAGTTTATATTACATTTTTAATTAATGTTTTAGAATATTTGTCGAATTTAATTCGAGTGGGGTTTTGGGGTTTTGGGGTTTTGGGG